CACAGCAATATGGTTCAGATTTCAGCTGAGATTAATGCTGTTATTTTTTAACAACAATTTTTGTCATTTATTGTAACTATAATATAATCTCCAAAGTTTTTTGCCATTGTTAATTTGTGAATAGTGGAAAGATGATGTGAATAGGATTGTTTATTTAATCTGGAGCTGATTTTTGCTTGATTTCTCACGTTCTTATTTTTGTCTTTAGTGCTATAAAAGTTCCAAGGAGCAGCAGCCTCAGATGGAACTGTTATTGTGTGACTGCAGTATTACATATATTCCCAAAGACAGTAAAAAGAAGAAGCATGAGCTAAAAATTGCACACCAAGGACAAGATGCTCTAGTTCTTGCTGTACAGAGCAAGGAGCAGGCAGATCAGTGGCTGAAGGTATGTCATATCATAATTAATTCCATTTCTCATCTTTCCAATGATTAACTTAAGGTCAAGTGGTGATTGATAAAAATGCATTTAAAGTGTGTGAAAGGTTAGCATAAAATTGGACATGTAAAGTACTAATTCCATTCCGTCATTAAACTCATAGGAATTCAGCCAATCAGTATGCTTAAGTCATAAATTAGTGATGGACGTTACACATTACTCCCTTCTGACTTTAGCATGATGTCTGGCTGTAGTTTAAATTTTTATTTTATTTCCAATAAACTAATAACAATGTGGGAGTGAGAGACAATTTCCCCTTTCCCAAATTATTAAAGTTTGGAAGCAGCAGTGGATTTGCCAACAATAGATGTGGCCTGGCTTAAGTTTGTTACTGTGTGACTAGAGGTATAATTTAGCATGGTGACATCTTGTTCAATGATAGTTAATTTAGATTCTGAGAATAAAACAATACTGAATTTAGAAATCCTACCTAGGCATGCACTGCTTATTTTAAAGGAATTGTCCTTCCGTTCCAAAGTATTCATTCCTTATAAGTGTTTGTTCTTTGAAAGCACCTGTCCCAAATATTGAATGTCACAAAAACTAAAACATTAAGATCTAGTGTTCAAGGGGACATGCCAGTGACTACTTTTGATTCCAAATTAGCCCAACCTGGTACTCTTGCATGGATAAAAGTGGTACATTATCCAATTCCCCTTGAGTCTTCCATTTGTTATGGCTGGCATGCCCTTTTATTTCATAACATGGACCAGTGGCCAGTTGGAACTTATTTTTTTTCCCTTGAGGATGGGTATTCAGAGCAATCACTCTGTAGTTGCTTTTTCTCTAGCCCAGCTGACCTTCCCTTTAACATTGTTGTCTTTTGGGAAATAGGAGCCTTTGTTTTGTGACTGGTAGTCTTTTCCTTTCTTCTGCAAGCACAACAAAACCCTTGTGCCACGCTGATCATCCCTGGATACTTACTGGTCCTGTGTTTGCATTTTTCTCTGTTCATCTTCAGACCCTGTACCTTAGACCTGAGAACGAGAAGGGAGATGGGCAATATTTGCAGGAGTTATATTTCCAAGATTTAATAGGTTATTTTTATGTAAGACATATTTCATATGAGATACTGTACAGATTTAATAAAAAAACAAGATTGTATTTATAACTGCCCAGCACTACAGGCATATGCCAAGCTCACCTTTTGTGCAATAAGATGCCTTGCAGAGGATATGAAAAAGCACAGCAGGAGACATGCATGCAGATATCAAAGATGTCTTCATAGAAAAAGTTAATTCCCAGAACAAATCTGTCTCACTCCAACATACTATTTATTTGTTTTGATTGATTGCCATTCCAGACTATTGGGGAAGGAAATAAATACACAGGAAAACACAGGAAAAGTACCCAGTACAGAATTAAATTACTCTGCCTTAATTCACTTTTTAGAAATCAGTCTAAATAAGGGTTATAGTTCATCTAGAAAATATTCTAGCCCAAACTTCTCCAGAACAAAGAAGAAAATTTCACAACTGTGAGTGAAGCCATCTAGACAGATCCTCTTTTTGTGCCTTTGGACCACGCTGCATACAAAAAGTATAATTTAAATTATACTTAAGGATAATGATGCAATATCCTGAAAAAGTAGCCACAAAAGTTCTGTAGAATTCAAGCTCTGTAGGCATTTGAAGCTCAAAACTGGGTCTTGTGATTTTAATCCTGAAGGTAGGAAGATAGTGCTATAGAGGTAAATTAATACTTCTTTTAGAATATTAATGTTTTTATTGTTGTCTTTAATTCGTCAGTTTGCAAACCACTTAACCTTCCCTTCAGGGATTGAACAGAAGGGTAGACATTAATGGCAGCAGACACATCTCTATCCTTGCTCTGTTAAAACATCACTAGTACTTAATTATGTAGCAAACAGTTTGGGATGAAAACAGCTATCTTGATAAAAATGAGGAGCCTGAGTTCTGTCTTGCTGGAATGATGAATACTGTCTTTTGAAAGAATGCATGATTTCATAGGCACAGCTCATGGCCAAATTATTCTCTTTGTCCTCTCTCTGACTTCTATGTCTTGTGTAGCCAAAACTAATTGCCTCTGTGGGATGAGCAGATGCTGAAAACATGAGCAATATCCTAAGGGTCATTGAAGAGGCAGGAGCAAAAATACAGAAATATTTGCACAAGTAAAATAGATACTCAAACTGAAATACAAATCACAAGGATTTTTTAAAAATCCATATAGATCTGATGTTTGATGTTTTAAAGCAACTTAGTGTTTTCTTTAGTTTATCATATAATTTCCCCCAATTGTGTGTGTGTGTGGGGGGGCTGAACATGTTAGGTTAGGATGCTTCGATAGAGGAAAAACAGGAAGAACCAACTTAAATGTTCCAAATTTTTGTGATAAAAGAAATAATTTTATATTGTAGGAATTAAGTATTTTATCTTATTAATAGTCCAACAGCTGTGGTCTTGGCCAAGAACTGTAGCTTAGAAATTAGGTGTAAGCATGTTCGTCTACATAAACAGTGGAACAGCATATTTTGTTCCATGCCTCAAACAAATCCCTTGGAATAAGTGTGCTTGCTGTACAGAATAATTTTCAGATTGAAAGAGGGCCTGGAGGAGGAAGCTTTTTCTTACAGATTATCCCAGAATTAGTTGTGCTTATAGAATTCCTACAGTGGGCGTAGGATAGCAGTTTTCAAAAAAAATTGACCCAAATATTACAACTTTGGAGGCAACAATAATAGGCACATACTGGGAGATTAACTAATCTCACTGTGCCTTTTGAGGGGAAAGGAAAAGGTTTTGCTTTGACCACTTCCATCAGCTTTATTTGAAGGCAAACTCCATTCCATCTCTAATTCAGAGTGTTTGTGTGGTCAGTGCAGGGGAGGTAGAGGTAGCACTACCTGTGTTATAATGTTTGTATTATAAAGGAACTTCTTGAGAATTTACTGCCTTTCAGTAAATATCTCTGGTAGGCCCAAAGAATTTTGTGTGAAGTAGCTCCTTGCTGTTATTACCCATAAAGAACTCTCATTGTAGCTGAGCTTTGTGCTAAGATTTGCTATATGTGTTAAATAATGGTCATGTCAAACTAAGTTAGACTGCTTACACTGGAAGTTGGGTAAAAATGAATGTATTTTTTAAAATGTTGATCAATAATTGTAATAATAATGAACCGTTTTTTCATATAGGTAGTCCTCCCTTAACGACCATTCATTCAGCAATCGTTTGAAGTTATGACGGTGCTGAACGAATGGTGTTTATGACTGTTTCTTGAAGTTATAGTTGTTGCAGTGCCCCTGCAGTCAAATGATCGGAATATGGGTGCCTGGCAGCCTACCCACACTTAGGACCAGAGGGGGTCTTCAACTCCCTCCACCTGCCTATCTCCCCCCCAAACTCTGCCCTTTTGGCTGCCCTGCACTCCACTGCTCCTGCAGCCCCACTGCCCTGCACTCCGCCACCCCCCACTGATCTTCACCATCTTCTTCCTCCCACTGCTAACGAGGCACACCTGGCCTGGCCCTTCATGAAGCAGCTGCTGGCCATGAAGGGCCAGGCCAGGCATGCCTCATCAGCAGCGGGAGGAAGAAGACGGTGAAGGTCAGTGGGGGATGGTGGAGTGCAGGGCAGCAGACTGCAGGGTGGCAGGGGTGACAGGCTGCAGGGTGACCGAAAGGGCAGAGATGGGGGGGAGATAGGTTGAGAGGAGTTGAAGTAGAGGCGAGCACAGCAGGACAGGAGAAACGTGAGGTTCTCACCTAATGATGGTGCAGTCCTGGCCTAATGACTGCAACCAGGATTACTGAAACTGCCATTGCTTAGTGATGCAGTTGCGTGATGTTTCGCTTAACAGAAATTTTGGTCCCAATTAGCGAGGACTACCTGTACAGTGATTTTCAGCAGGATCTCATTGTTCTAGAGGAAGAGATCCAGTCCATCAATAAGATCAGCTGCAAACACCAGATAAAATAACAGGAAATATATTAGCTGGGGGGGTTTTTTGTTTGTTCTTTCAATACATATTTATATAGTAAAATTCTTGATATTCTGTTATTTAGATACCCTAGGGTATTGGATGTAAAGGGGAAAAAATATATATTCTATCAATATTCATTACAATTTAGGATATCAATGTTACAAACATTATAATTATTTGGGTTTTTTCAATCAAAGTTAAATATAACATTAGAAAGGAAGGGATGAAAGAAAAACATTGCGATATCAATGTATTTATTAGACAATAAATGTTTTGATCTTAAGCTAAATTACTTGATATTAAAATCTCCATTGTACTGTTACTTGGTTATATGAGTGAGAGTGTGTGTGTGTGGATGTTTGTATGTGTATATATATATTTATACAGGTTAATAAAAAGAAAAAATAGATGGACAAAGCAGGTTTAAAAAAAATTAAATACTAAAAGTAAATAAGAAAAAAAGTATTTTTTTAATTAAAAAGCTATTTTTGAACAGCTGTTTTAGCTGTTTCTTTTCCATTTAAACTTGAGTTGAAAAGTTTGATTTGAATTTAAGCTGTCTAGTATTCCTATAAGTGTAGATCAACATATGGTTGTTAATACCAAAAAGAAAATGGGATATACGTATAAAAGGGGAAGAATTGGGCATAAGTAGGAGATGAAAAGAAGGAATGTTAAATCTACACTGAATAACAAACAGAAAGAAGGACTAGGGTCATATTATATAAGTATTCCTTTGTCCAGAATGAGAAGCCTCGGATATGGAATTGAAACCTTTTGTCTTTAGTTTTAATGACTTCTCCAAGTCATGCATTAAGATGCTGAGTAAATGGCAAGTATCTATGAGATACTTTCTGGTTTGCTACTCTTGCATTCTTCAGCTATCAAGATGGTATTGATAGCTGAATCATTTCTATTTTTAAATACTAACTTTTCTGTTTCACTATATTGACTTAAGTTTCAAGCAAGATACCAATGAGCAACTTTTTCCATTTCTTTAAAGGTAATAAAGGAAGTTTGCAGCACCTATGTTGGCACAGTAGACTCAGATGGACCATCATCTAATTCTGTGCATAAGACTGATCTGGAAAAGGTAATTAAACTGCAAAAGACAAAACACAATATGGCTGTGTCAGATTGTTCAGAAATCACTTTGAGCCAGGAGTCCTGAATTATTAAATCTCCAAGGAGATGAGCAACAGTGTACTGGTTCATGCAGCCCAGCATCTTTGCTTTATTCTTCTGTCCATGTGACCATTTTTGGTTGCCTGATATATGTCCAAAAATTGACATATGATATGTTTGTTTATGAATTATACCTAAATAACAAATGTTCCTTATGCTGTGTGTCAGAGCATAAAGTACAGGGCAGAGTCTTTGTGGTGGTGTGGGAACATGGGAAATAGAGTACTGCTGAAAATTAGAATTATATACTGTGATGTATTGCGATGGAAAAAAAGTTGCCCATGCCATTGCTGTTTCTTGCAAAATAAAAGTAGGGATGAAGAAGTCTAGGAGACAGGATTTGGAGAATTATCCAGAATAGTAAGAATTGTGAGGATATTTCTGAGGCTTGGGTTGTCTCAGGGTTTTTTAAATTTTATTTTAAAAATTTTTATTGGAATTCTACTCTGTCTTAGGAATGTCTTAAATATTCACAGGCATTACTGTCAGTCCTATAAGGTAGACCAGACTAAGAAACACACAGCATGTAGACCTAAAGCTACTTTTATTAGAACAGCAACAGTAACAGAATTTTGCAAGTCTCAATGGGTTTCACTTCCTCCCCCTTCAACTTAATATAAATTGTGTGTGTGGGGGGGCTGCCTGAGGCATTTTTGCAAACCACTTGCTTGGCCTGGGCTCAAGTCTTGCTTATCTGATTGTTGCCTTGGTAGTAGATCTTCCCTCTGTCCTTCAAGGCCACCCTCTATATCCACAGCACTTACATTTTAGAACCACTTGGGATTGTGATGGTGATAGTGATGATTTTATATTTCTAATCCACTCAATAACTAAAGTTTTCTGGGTGGATTAAAAACAATAAAAGAACAAATACAACTAATAAAATGTTTAAATTCAGCATTTATTTCTGTTTTTTCTCTCTCTCTTATTCCTTTCTTTTTTATACAGCAGTCTTATTTACAGGAGTGTCTGTGGGGATGGTCAAAAAAAATAATGGTGGCAGCCACAACTATGCAATCAAAGCTTGCCTCTTTTTATGTGGGTTGATGTGCAGTGCATGTTAAAAGGGCATGGTGCTTCAACTGTGCAGTCACAGCCACCATCTTGGTCTTTTTGACATTCCCCATCCCACCCCCTGGTAAATACCTCTGTTGGTTTAGATTGAAAACAATGGTATTGTCTTACTTTTATGAACTTCAGAAATTAAAAAAAAATGGTATCAGTGTGTTTGAAGTGACTTTATCACACAGGTATATCTTACTCCAGCTTCAATTATCCACATTCTATTGAAATAAACATAACTCTATTTTTTTAAAAAAAAATTATGGTAGTTTATTTTTTACTACCTGCGGTCATAGCTTGAAGCCCAGATATTGTATCTGGTGATGTGTTGGAGAGTTGTTTGGGGCATCAGGTTCTGGTTTTACCTTTTTTATTATTATGAGCCACCCAGAGTTGTGGCACATAAAATGAGTGCCCATATAAGCCATAGATTAGGATGGATGGATGGATGGATGGATGGATGGATGGATGGATGGATGGATGGATAGATAGATAGATAGATAGATAGATAGATAGATAGATAGATAGATATTAGGATAATATATACCCATTAATCAACTATATAACATTCCCCTTATGTATGCTGGCTAATTGCAAAAAAAAAAAAAATATTTTCATATTACCGTGACCAGAAGAAACATTTCTTCTAAAAAAAGAGAGACTTAAGAATAAAACACATCTTCTTAAACTGCTATTGTGAATGTTATTTCTGGCCTAATTTTTGCCAAGGGATCTCTGCCTATTTGTGAGTGCAGGTATTTTAAGAACAGGCAGCTCCATGAATCGAACATTATTTGGAATGGAATACAGTGAAGGAAAGCTTGAATTTTCTTGAATAAAGGAATCAAGGATTAAACCATTTTAAAACAGAAAAGGATATAAGCACTTCTACAGAGTGGAATGAAAGAGACTACATTGGATGTTAAAGAAACAACTTTCTATTTTATTTGTAAATAAGCTTGCTACTGTTACATGCAGTATCATTAATGCATAAAGTAAACCTGCCATTTTCTTTAGTGCACTTTGGATATTATAGGCAAATTATACATATGCTGCATGGTCATGCACAGAATCCCATTCACTATTTTACACATGCTTAAAATTCAGTTTGGATTTAACAGACATTCTCATTTAACAGACACTTCTTTAGTCAGTTAAATGGAGAGTTTACTTAGTATTATAGTAAAAAGGGCCCCTGAATCTTTAAAGCTATAGTGACAGCAGAATGTCAAGAAATGATTATTCCCTTCACACATTATTCCCCCTGAACATTGTGGATATCGGCATTGTGTTGAACATTAGTATACAACTAGTACTAAGTTGTAACACTTGAATTATAAAAAACATAATTCCTGAAAAAAATAATTTTTGGGCAACTTGTATTTGCCTCATGGTAGATGATATTTTGTCATTTGATTCATGATAAATTATTTCCAGTGTAACTACATTAATAATTATTTTTCCATCCAGAAACTATCCTCAGAAAGACCAAGTTCTGATGGAGAAGGTGTGGTAGAAAATGGCATAACCACTGTTTGTAATGGGAAAGAACATGGTAAGATGCTGCTAACAGTGCTTGAGTCAGATCACAATATTCACAAACATTATATGCTGAGAAAATAAATTGATTAGTTTTGTTTGGAGATTGACAATCCATTTATGTGGAACAAGATTATAGCCCCTTTAAATTGACAGCAGCTTCCACAAGGAGATATCAAAAAAGTCAAGGTGATAGTTGCAATGATGCAGTTGAAACCCGTTGTATGTGGGTGCAACAGGGACATGTACAAAAGAGGTGAGGCTTCACTCACACAGTCATAACACGCCATCCTGACTTTTTTTGAACATGTCCCTTCCTCTAGGACTTCACTGAGATGGGCCCTTATCAGACTTTCCAAAGAAAGTTCATGAAGTTTATCAACAATATCTTCAGTTATTGTCAGACTCAATGATTGCCTAGCACTATGAGCAATACTAGAAGCTGGATTAAGTGATTTTTTTTTTTTCCTCACAATTCCTGACCTCATGTTGTCTGGGATGTGGCTGGAAGGCTTGAAATGTATCTTCCTCAAGCTATCTAACATTGCTTGGAAAATTGCAATCTCAGACAGTTGGACCTGCCAATACTGGCCCTCCCTGAGACACTTTGCCCAGAACGTCTTTAAAACTGGAGAGGCAGGTCCTGGCCTCCTATACTGAAAATTGCATGAAGCTGCAATAAACTCTTAAGCAATTTATGTAGTATATGCACAGGTTAGAAATTACACTTCTTGTCTGGATAGTCATTTTTTCAGTTTGGCAAGTTTGTATTGAGTAGAAGAATAATTGCAATGAACAGCAAGATAACCAATTCAATTAATTAATAACAACCCTATGACACTACTTTTCTGGAGGTTTACAGTCAGATAGTTTCATTAAGTTCAAGTAGATTGTGTCACACCATTTTTTTAGTGCATTTTGGGAGGGTGTCATTTTTTAGAAGGTAATAAATGTATGATAATGTGATTTGGGTTGCATCCATACTGATTGTTTTTCACATGATTTCCAAACTTTACCCCCTTTTATAGGTGCTCCGACAACATTGTTGCCTGCTTGTTAGGTTCTAATGCTGTTTCCTTGGCATGTTTTTAAAATCTGGCTTGGAGTTACTTTTATAAGTATAGTAACTCTTATTTACACCAGTTTATGTAATATGGATAGACAAAACGTTACTATTTATGCCTTTCTTTAAAAAAAAAAAACCTTGCATTTGACAGTCTTCTGTTGTTCCAACAAACATGGGCATGGATATATACTGGATTCTTTTAATTTTTTAAATGGTGAAATAACAAGTCAAATAAAATAAAATAACCTTTATTACAACCTTAGACCAGAATATAACCAGAGATACAAGGAATAAAAAAATAATAAAAACAGCCATGACTTAGACTTGGTCCTATAAAATAGTTCATTCAAGTCCTAATGAAGATACAGTGATCCAATAGGCCCTCATAGCCCAAAAGCAGAATTCATCAGGATGACAAGGTCATTTTTTTAAAAAAATACAGGCTGAATTAATCTTGTTGGAACATCAGAATAATGCTTACATTGTTCGAGAGCATGCCTGTCTGACTAAACCCCTCCTCAATCACATGAGCATGATCTTTGGGAGCTGAGTCTTACTATATCTGACTCCTAAAACTGCCAGGGGGAGGGCACTGAAACAGACTATGATGGATGCCAGCACTCCGGGAGTGTGTCTCTGAGAATACTTAAATACCAGTAAATTCTTGCAGTTTGTTCCCATTTTGATATTCTAGATCTTCAACCCATTTCTTAATAACTCTTAGCTTTTTCAAGACCTGAAAATAACAAAAGTTGGGGGTAAAGGGCATAGGATGGCACTTTTCTTGCAATGTTTTCCCACCAAGTAGATTGGTATCTATCAGATGTTATTAATGGAACCAAACCAATTGGAGTCAAGATAAGCCTTAGCTAAGCAAATAAAATTGCTTGCCAGACTCAGCTTTTTAAAAAATCAACCTCTAGTCTAAAGGGTACATTCAGGATACATCAAGGTGTCAAGAATAAGGAATCTTAGAAATCCTGACTCTGCCTTTTTGCAAGGACAGAAATTGGTAGATTATAGTTGTATAATATAGATGTTATGTAACTGTTTTTGAAACAACTGATTTAATAGTGTCTGGGATAAAGTTCCTGTGCTGACTGTGATGAAATCTTAAATGGCTGCTGTACTATTTTAGGCTAAGGAAGAGGCACAGTTACCATGGGATATTTGCTTTCTAGGGGTTGGAAAAACACACTCTGATATTTAAGTATTTTACATATTTTGTGGTTTGACTGCCTATGCAGCATCTGTAAAGTTTAGTGTTGTTGGAGAAGATCATTACTTTTGTATGTTAATTATTTATAATCGGCTGCTGTTTCTTTACAGGTTTGGGTGAGGGTCTTAAAAAGTTTTCTTGATAACAGCTTGAGTTAGTGACAGAATAGAAGCATTATCTGCGTAAAGCAGATTGGGTAGTTGTTTATTTGTCAGGCTTGGGACATATATATCCAACTCTTGCCAATGTTTAATTAACAAATTTATATAAACAGTAGACAAGAATAGTGCCAGGATACAGCCCTATTTCATTATGAAAAAATATTAGACAGACAGATAGATAACACAGTCCTCCTTCATCTGACAACAAAATCTGACATACAAACAAAGTCTATTTTAAGGGCACTTAGGAAGCTATATTCATATTTAATTCTTTAACCATGATCAATTGAGAGTAGATATGGTAATACATGAAGATTGAAAGGTTCAGTTGAATTAAGCCCTTTAATTAGAGAACAAATTGCAAATTTGGGAAATATACAATTGGAAAGCCTACCAGATCACTTTTAATTAGTACTGGAAATATTTGCTGCTTGTAGATAAGTAAGTAGAGAAGAACCTTGTTCACAAAGAAAGACACTGCTATATTAATTACATGTGGAGAACCTACCTTTAATTTTGCTTCCTGAAATTCTTCAGCATTGTTGAAGGACTATAGTGTGTGAGTGAAACAAAACTGTTCTATGTCTGCATTAACTCCACTTTAGTGAAGAATAAGCAATGCACTGGCCCAAGCCATTTGGCATCTTTACACTGCTTGTTGCTGTTTAAAAGCCAAATGTTAGGGTAATATATGACCCATACCAGAATTCTAAGAGTGACATTCAAACTAAGAATTCAAGATTAAGTCAGATTTTTTTTTAAAAGTGACATGCCACCTCAGTGACTTGTCATGAATGAGATTATGGATCTCAACTGGGGTTCTACTTCAATTTTCAGTAAAGGCAACTCAAATCAGCTGCTTGTGAGATTAAATATTTTTTGTGCCACAGCTTCTGCTGTTTGATAACAGGTTCTTTTAAGATTTTAGAAGACTTAGATATCTCTCTGTCTGTGTGTTTGGTTGGTAGTAAAGAGAAAAAAGAGCTCAAAGATGGACTCCAAAGGGACTGTATCTAAAGTAACAGGAAAGAAGATAACAAAAATAATTGGTTTAGGGAAAAAAAAACCATCTACTGATGAACAGACCTCATCTGCTGAAGAAGATATACCAACATGTGGTGAGTGACTTCTTATGATCTCTTATAGAAACAATCTATTGATAGAAAATGTTACTTGATTTCATTTCTAAAAATGCCACCTTTTGAAACCAGATTTTTCTTGTTCCCAATCTCCCATGAATACTACTTTGTTCTTCTAAAAGTTTTCACTGTACAAATGTGTTTTCAGACTGCTTTAAACCCTTTGATTTCCCCCCAGCATCTGTAGCCCACCACAGAATTCCATTCAAATTACCTTGTTTTCCATTTTTTAATCTGAACCATTTAAACTGTACCTAATGGTTCCAGTTACTGTCTGGAGGATATCTACCACACACCAGTGCGTTGGTTATAAACAACTAGTCTTCTCCTAGCAACTGTCGCTCCTCAGGTTAACATTGCTCAGATTTTCCACTTATTGCCTTACTGATCTCACACTCCCTGTAACCTCCCTCCCCCCTACTCCAAATTATCTGAACAGTTTTCTGATTCAGAATTATGCAGTTTCATGTGTTTGTGCTCCCATCTCTTTTAAGCTCCTCTTGTTCTGATTCTCATCACCCCAGTTTGGCAACGAATTCCCATCACTTTCAGTCTTCTCCATTTTTCTTTTCTTTGTCCCACCTGTCTCCTAGAGTAGAAATCTCTTATTCAGCATCTCACCTCTCCTATCTTCCTTCCTAGTTTTCTCTAGTGTTGCTATTATTTGTCCCTGCTTTTTGGCAATAGTGAATGGTCACTCATACAGTATCCCAAGATTGTGTGACTTTTTCCTTCCTACAAAATAGTTGTTTTGTAAATCCCTCCATAATTAGCGTCTTTTGGACTTGCAATGCAGAAGTCAGTAGTATTTTTTAATCTATTTTTTTGTGAAACAAAGAGAAAAAAATTCTGAAAATTGAGAGATTTTCCACTGTGTGGTAGAGAGTAATCCATCTTCTCATAAAAATGTGTAAGATACTCATTACCATGTATCTGATTCTCAGTCTTTCGGGGAAGACCTAGGTGGTGGTGGTGGGGGAATAAAAGCAACACCCAAACAATCGTTGTTCAGGGTTATAAAGTTGCTGCCTCTAACCACAACACTTCAGCTACAGCTACCCAGGGAGGGAAAACACATGCCCTCAGTGGAGATTTGAACTGGATATTCAGCTGTGTGGTAAAGATTTTTGCCTTGTTTTGCTTCTCTCCCACAAGAATGGTGGCTTGCAGAAGGTTTGTTTAAGAAAAATAATGCCTCCATTTTTATCTGAGTGGAGTTTTTCAGTTTCTGGCACTTAATTTCATAAGTTGTGAATATACACAGAAAACTTTAAGAAACATATTTTTGTGTTTTGCAGGATATCTTAATGTGCTCTCAAATAACCGTTGGCGTGAGCGCTGGTGCAGAGTGAAAGATAATAAGCTTATATTTCACAAAGACAGGACAGATCTAAAGACTCATATCGTTTCTATTCCTCTCCGTGGCTGTGAAGTTATTCCAGGATTGGATTCCAAACATCCCCTGACATTCCGTTTGCTTCGAAATGCTCAGGAGGTTGCAGTATTAGAGGTATATTGTAATGAGCCTATCCTTTGCAGAAATAACATAAGCAGAATCTAGGAATCCCTTGCTTCTGGAATAAGAGATCTATCCTTTAGTTAATAAAATACCTCATTCTGTTCTGAATGCATAACATTTCCTTGTTCTTGTCTGTGGCAGGAGCTAGATAGTTGATAATATAAAATATATTAACTTGTTAATTACAGTACTTTGAAAATTGATTTCTTCTTCCAACTCTGTTTCCAGAAGGTCTCAAACTCAAGACATTTAAGAAGGCAATAAACTATAGTATTGAATTGAACATCATTATCAGGCCAAAAACCAGCTTCAATGAGTATTAATTCTTAATCTCTCTCTCTCTCTTTCTCTCTCTCTCTCTCTCTCTCTCTC